CTGGGTGTCACCTGTGCTGGGTGTCACCTGTGCTGGGTGTCACCTGCAGGGCTGGCACTGTCACCTGTCCTGGGTGTCACCTGCAGAGCTGGCACTGTCACCTTTCCTGAGTGTCACCTGTGCTGGGTGTCACCTGGACAGGTGTCACCCACCCTGGGTGTCACCTGCTCTTAATGTCACCTACCCTGGGTGTCACCTGCAGAGCTGGCACCTGTGCTGGGTGTCACCTGCTCTTGGTGTTACCTGCTCTCAGTGTCACCTGTGCTGGGTATCACCTGCCCTGAGTGTCACCTGCCCTGAGTGCCACCCTCCCCGTGGGACACCTGGTGACATTTGGGGACAGGTCACCTTCATCTCGGCGCGTTTTGGGGGTGACACCTTGGCGTCGTCCACCTTGATCTCGCCAGGTGGCATTTTATTGAGGCACTGCAGGATGATCCTCAGCGATTGGCGCATCTCCTCCACCCGGCACAGGTACCTGCACCCCGAAATTCAAACTGGGGGAGTGCCCACACCTGGAACAGGTACCTGCACCCCCAAAATTCAAACTGGGGGAGTGCCCACACCTGGAACAGGTACCTGCACCCCCAAAATTTGGGATTGGGGGATGTCTCAGGACATTGGGGTTCCTACAGGATGGGGTTTCTGGGGGTCCCAGGTAGACCCGTCCCAGGTATGGGGGTCCCAGGTAAAGAATGTCCCAGGTGTTTTGGGGTCCCAGGTAAAGGTGCCTCAGGTATTTGAGAGTCTCAGGTAAAGAATGTCCCAGGTGTTTTGGGGTCCCAGGTAAAGGTGCCTCAGGTATTTGAGAGTCTCAGGTAAAGAATGTCTCAGGTGTTTTGGGGTCCCAGGTAAAGGTGTCCCAGGTGTGATGGTCCCAGGTAAAGGTGTCTCAGGTATTTGAGGGTCTCAGGTAAAGAATGTCTCAGGTATTTGAGGGTCTCAGGTAAAGAATGTCCCAGGTGTGATGGTCCCAGGTAAAGGTGTCCCAGGTGTTTGGGGCTCCCAGGTAGAGCCATCCCAAGTGTGCAGAACCCATCAGGCTCAGCCATTCCCAACACAGCACCCCAAAACCCAGGGGTTACCTGCACTGAGACCCTTTTGGGTGACAGAAGCAACCCCCCCAGAACCCCCCCAGGACCCCTCCGAGCCCAGGTGAGGCCTCACCTGTCGTAGCAGTCGCCACGGGAGCCGATGGGGACGTCGAACTCCACCTGGTCGTAGACGTCGTAGGGCTGAGCCTTGCGCAGGTCCCACTGGATACCTGAGCCCCGCAGCATCACCCCGCTGGGACAGCCCGGAAACGCCCCAAATTCACACCTGAGCCTCGGCCCCGCCCACCTGGAGGGCGTGGCCAGGTGAGGGGGGTCCCTGCCCCCGGCTCACCTGAAGCCGTAGTTGAGCGCCTCCTCGGCCGTGATGACGCCGATGTCCACGGTGCGGTTCTTCCAGATGCGGTTGTTGGTCAGCATCTGGGTGAGGGGGGGGACACACCTGGCACACCTGGCACACCTGGGGCACCTGGCCTGCCCTGCTCACCTGGCGCTGGCACCAGCAGGTGGCACTGGAAATGCTCACCTGGTGCTGGCACCTGTTTTATTGTCCTCCCTCAGCCACGCAGCTCTTGCACTGAAACCTGTTCTGGCCACTCTCACCTGTCCCTGGCACTCTTACCTGTCCCTGGCACCTCTCACCTGTCCCTGGCACCTCTCACCTGTCCTTGGCACCCCTCACCTGTCCTGTGTCACCTCACCCCCCCCATGCCGTTAGGAATGACCCCACCCCTCCCAGGTGACAGGTGACAGCAGCCTGGTCGTGCCCCTTCTCTCTCTCCAAACTCCCGAATTCCCGAATTCCCAAATTC